TCACGTGGCTAAGTGGGTAAGATGCTGGCTCGCTAGCCTGGAGGTCGAGAAAGTTCATCCAGATTTTCCGGCGTGGTTCCCCCTTGTCAGTGATGCAGGACGGAGAGCCTGACAGGGACAGTTGTCTAGTCCTTCAGATAACACGAAAAACCGAGGTCTCGTGTATACATTGGAATGCACGTTAAAAGATCCCTTGGCAGTTGGAATTCGATATAAGAGTAGGCGATAGTGCCGCTGCCCGGGCAAAATTTCCCTCATAGCACACTGTATGGCGTATGCCCGTCTTCATTAGCCCAGCATAGGAGCAGAACAGTAGGACGTTAAACCCCATTTCATTTCGGTTTTATAATTTATTATATTTAATTATATTTATTATATTATAATTTATTATAATTATGTGATTGGCAGTTCAGGTTTAGAAATGAAATGAGATTTAACTTCCTCTTTACTGCACCAACTGGGGTAATGTATACGGACATTTGCCATGCAGTCTGCTACGAGGACAGCGACGTTTCCGCCCACACTCCATCGATTTCCAACTGTCAAGGGTTCTTTAACGTGCTTGGCAAAATCTACACGTGACCTAGGGCTCTATACCGATCCGAGCAACTAGACGTTTTACCTTGTCAGGTCCACCGACCTGCATCAGTGTCATAGAGAAACCAAGCGGGAAAATCTCGAGGAACTTTCTCAGGCAACACCAGAATTGGTGAACCAGTGCCCTAGGTGCGGAAATGAGTATGGTTTCCATTTTTTTTATGGCTGAAAATTTGAAATCGGTCAACTTTTTAGAACAGAATCGAATGAAACTTTATGCATGTTTTTTTTTCTTTGTTCGCAGGTCGTTTATAGTTCTTTATTGTTATGTTCATGTTCAAAATACCCCTATGTATGGTATGTCATGCATGGCTCATATATATGTTGAGCACAGATTACCCTCCTCGGACAGATTACTCCCGCGCATGTGCGAATCTCCGTCTAATTTCCGATGAGTAATCTGCGCGCGCGAAGTGAACTTTGTCCGGACTAAAATGGATTACCGCGATGATAATCCGCCTAATCTTACTCGGTATTCACTATGGATCAGTGCGTTAGTATTAGTCATTTTAATGAATTTTGTGACCGTCAGTTTACTGGTCGAGCAAATCGGAGCAAATCGATACGGAAAGAAAAGTATCACCGCATTTGACTACCAGAAAAGAGGAAGTAGTAGAAGGGCTTTTGAGTTAATATAAAGCAGTTTCCGTCGAGAGGTCTACATGACATACTTTGTGAACCTACATACGGGTCTCTAAGACTTCGTTACTAAAGTAACTACGATCGGTCAAAGTATTACTTACACTACAGCAAATATTTTGGACATTCAGTCACGTGGTCAGCACCGATTATTTGATACTGCTGACTAGAATTTAAAATCTTATTTTCTAAGCACACACGGTAATTATGCAGTGATTTTGAAAATTATATCTCTACAAAGACCACAGGAGGCAGGTCATATATAATATAATTTATAGTTGCGTCTGACACACTACAATATCTCTAAAAACATCGTGGGGTAATCAGCGCAAAGTTGGCAATCTGCGCGCCAGCTTCATAAGCGCAGATTGCAATCTGCGCGCGCGGGGTCCAATCTGCGCGCGCGGAGTGCAATCTGCGCAGGATGACAGCGCAGATTGCAATCTGCGCGAGGGGTGAAGATTGCGCCTATCATATACATCAAATCGATCCTGGCATGTGCCACAGAACCAAATATTTCCCGGCACGACCCTCCTCCCCTATCCCAATAAGTGCCCTACGTTTGGTCTGCCTATTCTACCTTGGAGGCCCCAGTACGCCCCTGATCCCATAATTGATGTGTGTGTTGGGACTGGGAGTGGTGGGGGGAATTCAAATTTAAGATCTATAAAATTCTGAAATTTGATAGCCGTCTGTATGAATTTAAACAAAAAAACTTTCATTCACATTGCGTTCAAAAAGATTCACGGCGAAAGGGGAGATAACTTCATTTAATGACATTAGGATGCAGACAACCATTATTTTCTCCATTCACGTAATATTAATTCTGCTCGCTTTGCCCGGCTACAACTTTTCCCATATTTTCGTTGGGCTGAAAGCTTTTCACTACAGACAGCAACAAAAGGTCATTCCATTGTTCCCCTTTTTGGATGATGTACGTAGCCAATGACATTCTGAGATACGCAAACTTGAAGTAGCATATTAAAAACATGTAACTATTTGCCTTACATATCACCGTAACCAACCCCTTAGCTCTGTTATCCTTCCGCCTGTAAATCATAAATATTTTTACCAAAATCTGACAAAAATTCTTAATTCAAACCAACAAATCAATAAAAATGGACTGTTTTGTTACCAGGTTGCAGCTCGGATCCGTGTACCTTTTGTTCTAGACATTAGGATTCGTTCTTAATTTTGTCAAAATTTGAGTTAACACAAACATGTAAAGAGTTTCAAATAAGTCGCATCGAAAATATTCAAAATATTGGAATATTTTTCAAAAATTGACTTTCTTTTATCGAGATGATGAAATTCAATGGTGATCTCCATTAGGATCCAGACTGGCCTAAAAAAAAATTTGGAACATTCTGATGATCTTAAACTTCACAACCACAAAGAACCCAATATGCCAATTGCATCTGATGAAATATTAAAGGGAAGTCAACTTTTCGATTTTTTGCTAGGTCTGGTACAAGGAATCTGTTTAATTCCTGTTCCGTCCGACTCAAAATCATGAATAGTCACAAAAGCCTGGCAGAAAAAATGGAAATTTACTCTTCCTCGATCTTCGACCAAAATGTCAAGATAAAATGCTTTGCAAAAGGACAAACGGGAGAAAGAGCGAATTGCGATAATTTAGGCACTACATACATGCACAACAACATCTATGTTATATATTTTTGATGATCAGGTCATAATATAAAGTTAAACATATGGGCAACATAATTTCCAAACCGAGGTTGTCTCACTATATATATACGCTTCAAAAAAGTAGGGGATATTGAAATGCAAATACCTATGCAGGTTGTGATATAATAAATAGTCATGGACACTTGACATGCTTTGAGGGTATGTTCACAGGTGAAGAACTTATCGCCCCAACAGAACCACTTGCGACACGCAATAGCGCCATACACGTGGGAGGGGTTCGTTGTCAAATTTGACACTTTAAGGAAGGGTTGATGAAAACTGCCGCGTGTTGGTTTATCTATCCATGTTAGCATTCCTATCGGTTCTTGCATAAGATTTACTGTTTAGCGTATCTTTGCTTTAGTGTGTTACGTTTAATTTGGCCGTGGCACTGCAAAGGGGGTGGGTCAGATTGCCCCAAATCGTGATTGAACGGTTGATTAGGAGCATGCCACGACGAATTGCTGAATGTCTGTGGATTGGTGGAGAAATTCCTCATTATTAAGAAAAAATAAAAAACGTCCATTTTCACTTTTGACGGTGTATCTCTTTGCGAATGAAATGGGGCCGTCAGATAAGCCGCCCATATGAACTGTTTATGTTCATGTGTAGGCAATTGGCCTGTTATTAAAATACACTGGTTACCTCTAATTTCCGCAGTTTTGTATTGTTTCTGAATATCCCCTACTTTTTTTGAAGAGTATATATATATACCTGGTTGAAAATCCTAATAACATATACTTTTTGAACCCACAAACAATGGAAAGAACAATTTATGACCAACAGTTGAGTAGAATTTTCAAATTTCTTGTATGTAGTATTCTAAACCTTTTGGGGGCTTGTCCTGTATTATCGTAAATCAATGGAATTACATAAAGTCCATTAAGATTTGTTCCTAATGATGTCTACATCTGCTGTCAGCGTTAGCTTGTTTCAAAATAATCTGCTGTTCATGTTTACCGTTCAAAATGAATTGCTTATATCACAATTATTAAACAATATTCGATGTGTTTATTTTGGACGAAAGTCGTCTAGATTTTCCTTCTGAATAGAAAACATACCCCTTCTATCGCTTTTTGTTGATAAAATATATTATAATTCTGTCAAATTTCCAGTTAAAATTGTCTAAATATATATTCCTGCATTGTGAACTTTGTTAATAGTTTAATCTTTACAGACACATTTGAAATACAAATTTAACAATACAATGGAAGCCAGCGAGACATAAATTTTAAATACAATGGGAGCAAGCGAGACAGAAATTTTAAATACAAATATTAGTGTTAATGGGAGCAACAAATAACATACGTGCCTATACCTGACTACCTATCAAATCGGGACACGATTTGAAATCTATGTTCTAAATTGCCCCTGCTGTCTCATAGGAATTGAAATTTGGTTTAGCGCCCTACTGTTCTGCTCCTATTCTAGGCTAATGAAGATGGACACACGCCATGCACTGTGCTATAAGGATAATTTTCCCCGAACAGTGGTGATACAACCTTTATATCGAATTCCAACTGCCAAGGGATCTTTTGCGTGCACGCCAATATTACCACGGGACCTCGTTTTTTTGTCTCATCCGAACGACTATACATGTCCCTTGCCAGGTCAGGCCCCCTGTCATGCACCACTGACAAGGAGGAACTACGCCGGAAAATCCGGATGAACTTTTGGCCACGGCAAAGGTAGTGAGCCAATGTCCTACTCATGGAGTCACCGTGGTTCCCGTGTGCTATATGAATCTACACCTCTGGTGGACCAACAACCGAATTCAAATTAATCTTCACAGAGAAATCGTGACTCAACTGTATTTTTTCTAAAAATCAAACAAAAAATCGAAAGAATAATGGTAGACTACCAATTCTACAATAATTTTTTTTACAACAATTGCTATTTCATTCATAACATTTCTATAGCAAGAACAATAGATTAGTATGTCTATGCAAAGAACAGATTCGAACGATGCATAATAATATGTATTTTTGCTTCACGGCGAATGTGAAACGCCCATGACAGTTAATACACACCTCCATGACCACACCCACTTTATTCCCGCAATATGACCTCATTTGTTATTATCACGTGACTGGGTCAGCTGGTGTGCCATGGCGGCCTCAAATGTTGACACCGTGAAAGCTTTTTCTGGAGAAAAGAACGACAGCCCCAAGCTCGCCAAGAAAGCGCTCCATGAATTATATTCAATAGAGGAGTCGGGTGTGCCACTGAATACTCCATGGACATTCTGGCTTGATAAGTAAGTCATTAGTTATTTGTTGTTATGCAGATACATCTGCGCAGAAATTCCGCCGGATTCGCATTTCTTGGATGTCACTTTTGAAGCAAGCTAACGACTCAAATGTCATTCGTAATTTTAGGTTTTTGTAAAGTATTAGGGCATGTATGTTTTGTTAATCAACATCTTTATCAAGGTGGGATCTAATTAAAACTGATGCAATGTATAGAAACTACTGCCATAATGGAAAAGATATGAAATATTTAACTAGATTGTCTAGATCTCCTGTCTTGACTCGAGGCCATGGGTTTGTTTACAATCCATCTCACAGATAACCTTGACTAGGATCTTTGTCAAATATTTATTTTTCTAAAGCATCAAAGTCCAGTGTAACTCCTTCACAAATACAGTGTGTGCTATTGAACTAAAGGTGACATGTGATACTGACTTTATATATACTGACACTGGCCTGTGATATAGTAGTTCAGCTCTGAGGGTAGGTCTCACACTCGCCCTGTGCCTTCAGGAACCGTCCTATTGATTCCTTGTCGAAAAAGAATCATCCCCCAGTCAATTTCACTGGGGAACTTTTACTGCTAAATGGTCGTGTGTCATTCTCAGTGAACACCAAAACAATGTAGAATAACATTTTAGTGAGAAAATAAGACCTTGCTTATACCTCGCTAGTGTCAGTATGTGCAACACAATTAACATGCTGTTAAAAATATGTCCCCTTCTGCTAAACGGCTTGGCAGAAGCCACTGAAATCTACATATATGGTAACGCAAAAATTTACGTAACTTGGCCATATAAAAGACGAAACTGAGACGCGACCGTTTAGTAGTAAAAAGTTGCCCAGTAAAATTGACTGGGGGTTGTTCTTTTTCAACAAGGATTCAATAGGACGTTCCTGAACGTACAGGGTGAGTGTAATGAGACCTACGTTCAGAGCTGAACTAGTGATATAGATATTTTCGAAGCCGTGGAGCGTAGCCTACTGCCAGAGCTTCTGGGTTGGCACCTTTTAGATCAGTTTGGGAATTGTTGATTTTTTTATTGTCGAATTAATAAATTTTTGTGATATATTCCATTGCTCCAACGCTTCAACAAACTTACATATACATGTACATTACGGTCCTTACTACTACTATAGGCCAATATAGAACATATTATGCACATGGATAGTAGTATACACATGGAAAGTTCTGTATTCAAGGGCTAGGTTTTCGCTTTTGGTGTAGGGTTAGCAAATAATGAGAGAGAGAGAAATGGCTTATCATGCAGAAATGAAATGGAATGGGGTTTAACATCCTACTGTTCTGCTCCGAACTAGGCTAAGGAAGACAGCCATGTACGCCATAGAGTGTGCTATGAGGGAAATTTTGCCCGGTCAGCGGCACTATGGCCTACTCTTATATCGAATGCCAACTGTCAAAGGATCTTTTATGTGCACGCCAATGTGTACCTAGGGGACCTCGGTTTTTCATACCATCCGAATGACTAGACAGCTGTCCTTGTCAGGCCCTCCGTCCTACATCACTGACAAGGTGGAAAATCTGGATGAACTTTCTCAGCCAATGCAGGGATCGAACACCCAACCTCCAGACTAGCAAGCCACTGTCTTAGCCACCCTGACTCCAGCTTATCGTGCACTAGACAAAAACTAGGTCGCCTCAGGAACAACACACAAAAAACTAATTCACTTATGCGTAGGGGTCATTAGAAGTAGGACAAAACCGAAGGACACAGGAAACACACAAGGTTGAACAGGTGACCCTTGTACTCCTTTTCACATACAAATGGGGAATATGTTCAACCCAACTAGCAAATAACAAACATGGGTGGCGAATTACTCCTTGTCAGTCAGTTGCAAACTACAATATTTTTACAGTTCAATCTCTGAAAGGAATATCAATCCAAAAATGATTCAGCTCTGTATGTACAATGTTAGATCTAAATATTAAGGCCACCTGCAGATTTCGTCAAGGTCATGTGATTGTTGACGAGGGTTAGGTTTAAGAATTTGGGGGAGAGGTTAAGTCTCCACATAAGCACTGACCTAGGATGAGAAAAATTTAGTTTGTGATATTTTCTAGTTTTATAAAAATACATACAATACATTAGATTTATATACAAAGGTGATTTCACTGTTTTTTGGTGTTGGTGGCGCTGATGGTCTTCCTTGGATGGTGCTTGTGGTATTCTGGTATTTTTGTTTCTGACATTAGTGTGTTTCTTTAACTAAGAATTGGATTTTCTAGAAATGTGTTTATTCCACTATCACCGGCTTAGGGCTATGGATTCTTATATCTACATGTAGTTGATTTTATTTACTAAAGGGTGTGATATATGGCTTGTTTTGGGTTAGGGTGAGGACTGGTCTTATTTAATCTAATTGACTGTGCACTAAGATTACGTTCAGATTTTTATTTTTAGAATATGTAATAATAAGTTTCTGTGTGAAGATTGTCAGGTGATTTTCCTGGAGATCAGTATACATGTAGAGTTATCTGATGATTTTGGACGCACTTGCTGCTGTTGCACTAAATGGGACTACAAAAGAAGTTATTGCGTTATCCGTTATATATATTCAAACCTAGGGAGGCTGTTGTTTTCAATTTGTCAATCCAGAATTTTTCTCTAGTTCGCCTAAATGTTTTAATTTCTTCTGGAGTTTCAAAGTCACTCTTAGTCTTAGTCTTTTATATTGGTGTGACAATGAGATCAGAAATGTCATGATTTGGTTGGTTGAAGTGAATTGAGACCGGTTTGTCTCTTTTGGTGACTATGTCTGATCAGTGACAGTTAATTCTTTCCCTAAGTGCATTTTGGGTCTCCCCTACGTATTGTTTGTCACATTGTCTACATGAAATTAGATAAATTATGTTTGAACTACTGCGCACGAAAGTTGGTCTAATATTGGGAATTGTGTGCCGAATGTTTTGTTATGGAACTGGTCAATTGTTTCTTTGGTGGCTAGAGTATTGTTTTTTTTATTCGTCTGAGATAGTGTTTCGAGTACCCCCTTTCTCCTAGTTTGCTAAATACCAGCGTACATGCTGACTCAAAGTCGGTTCGTATTCTATAGATGCCTGAGAACATATGTTTTAGGTAAACTTTTGAACAATAATTGATGTGTATTGTTTTCTTTGAAAAATACTTTAGTTTCCAATTGGCCAGTGTTATTGGTGTTGCTACTTTTAAAAACGGTGGTGTAATGACTTACATTAGCGGTTAATTTGACAGATGGATGATGATTGTTCGCTTAGCTCCTTACATTCTGATGCATGAAAAATATCTATATATCTTTTACCACCCAATTTTGTCAATACACAATATTAGCAACAATCATACTTGTTTTTTGACATCAGCTGACGATTTATACTAAGTCGGAGATTTATACTAACAGTAAATATTTATGTTTTTGAATGTTTCATTACAGAAATGAAATGAGTGAAGCATCATGATTTCATTGAAAGTCAATCATTTGCTGGACAGAAACTGTTTTAAATTTATTGACCAATCAAAATGTTTGTTTCAGGACAATTCGAGGTACAACAGCAGCTGAATATGAGGCCAGTTTACGTAAATTATATACAGTTAATACAGTAGAGGTAGGTTTCACTATACTACACTGTGTTAGCTTATAAAGCATTTAAACTATGCAAATCCTTACTTGCTCATCTTGACCTCTCCTAAAAATTTAACCCTTGTCGGTGCATGTGGGGTCTCCGGGGACCCCATGCACATGTTTTATAGTGTTTCGTAATAACTACTGGACACTGCTTTCTGAAATTTAGTGACTTTGTCTCCTATACATTTTTACACGTAGCGAAGAGTTCGGTATTCATCTGCTTCCCACATGCAGAGTTCTGTTACATGCAAATCAGGCCCAACGCTTGAAGGGAACAAGGGGTCCGATTGGACCCCTAACTTTCAACTCACAGTAGGGATTTTGCTAATGTTTTTGCTGCCTGATACCATATTGCGGATGCCAGAGTATTCTCTCTTTTAACATCTACATGTTACAAATACCAAAAATTAAACGATGAATTCCAAATATTCAATGGTTTTTGTATCAAGCGTGAATTGTCATTTAACCTCTTTATCACATAGTACACAAAGTAGCAATTTTGTGAGAATTATTAAATCTTTTCCAAATGTCACTAAAATGTTTTTGTATAATAATTTAGTTGTTATTTGAATACAAATAAAAACTAAACTGCTGCCTTTTAATTTAAATATATCTGTACGTAAAAACTTTGAATTATAACTGGGGTCCATATGGACCCCTTGATTACTGCTATGTGATTCTCACAACGTGAACCGACAAGGGTTAAAGGTGCATCATGTAAGCGATAGATAACACTATTTTTGCTGTAATAGTTTAAAAATAAATAATTGAAATTGCATAGATTGAAAATACCAGTCACATTACTTTATTCTGAATGAACGAAGCTATGACTGTTGAAAGTTTTATCAAAAATAGGCTAAATTCGCCGATTGACAGTTTATATTCTCGATTGTGAAGTAACATTGCTACAATAATGAATGAGGTCTTGGTTTTCAGACCTTCCAACGCCAGTCTCTGATTGGGCTTGTCATTTGTAGCCACAAAAAGACCTGCAATAGAAAGAATTAGGCAATTAGCTCTTGCATAATAATACTGAGATTAATTCTTGTGTATTAGATGGAGGTTATACGAGTGAAAGTGCATTACATAAGTTTGATGTTGGTAGCAAAACAAAGAGCTCACCTGAAGGTAATGGACCAGTATAAAAAAGGATGGTATTTTCTACACTGTTTTCTTTCCATAATAATTCAATAATCATTGATAGAAAGACATTGATATTACATCACTTGTAGGTTTTTGGCATGACTTTCTCTAAGTTGAATAACTGATAATTGCCAATATGTTATATTTCAGGGATTTTGGAGTGTGTATAATAATATTCCTAACCCTGGTATAATCAGCACTAGATATAGTTATCATTTAATGAGACACCAAATACGACCCATTTGGTAAGTTACATGTGTGCTTTATTAAAGGTGACAGACTTAAAATTGATACCGGCTTATTGTGGACATTATTATCAGTTAAAATCTGTGTTTTCTATTTATGAGTACTGCAGTCTAGCAGGGTTCATTTGGCTACTCACAAGATCAGTGGTGGCAATCCCTAAACCCACTGTCTGTAAGTACACACACAGCCCCAACAAGTAAAACAAATTTTCTGTATGCAGCAGTATATGAGGCATGTAGGAAAATTGATTTCCAGGGTATTTTGGATAGATTATTTCAATAAGTTTATGAATGGACTTACCGGTGTCTGAAATTTCTATTTGAAGATGCAAAACACAAGACTTTCAAACAGAAAACAGTTTTATGTGTTTTATTTCTGTGCACTAAGACTAAATTTTACACCATGGATTACAAATTAGAATTTCCCTCCTGCTCTAAGATGAAAATGTCATTTTAACAGTTTCTAACAAATTTTTTTTAAGAAGTGTCCTAAAGGAAAACGTGCATTTATTTGAATATTTTCAGGGAAGATGAAGACAATTCTGCTGGTGGTAATTGGAGATTAAAATGTCATAAATTTGACACAGTATGTTTCTTTTATATTTATAATTAGGGACAAACTAATCCATTTAAAGGGTCTATGACATGCATCGTATTTAGCTAATTTATGTCACATTTAAACATACATTATACAAGAGCTAAATCTGCTGCATAAATTTCCTTCGCGATTTAATGATTAAATGGATAATCGAGACTATGATTTTTGTCGTACTGACTTTAGTAATGATGATCGAGACTAGGCGGAACTTTCAACCGCTTAATTCTCGGTTCATAGTGGATCAATTTAACTGAAATTTTCAGCAAATTGCCTTTACATTATCTAGTTTTTATACGCCCACATTGAAATGTGGTCGTATATTGTTGTAGCCCTCTTCGGTCCGGCGTCCACAATTGCTTGTGGTCGCTCTATATTCGATTGACTTTAAATTTATACACAGTGTTTAAGGTCATGAGACGAAGAAGCCTATAGATTTTCAGCGATTTGCGATAATTACTGCCAGAGTTATGACCCTTGATCTTATGAACACTCTAGAGGCTAAAGTTAATATCCGATTGACTTTAAATTTATACACAGTGTTTAAGGTCATGAGACGAAGAAGCCTATTGATTTTCCGCAATTTCCGATAATTACTGCCAGAGTTATGACCCTTGATCACTTTGAAAAATCTTGTGGATGCTCTAGAGGCTAAAGTTAATATCCGATTGACTTTAGATTTATACACAGTGTTTAAGGTCATGAGACGAAGACGCCTATTGATTTTCAGCCAGATAATTACTGCCAGAGTTATGGCCCGTAATCATTTTGAAATATCTTGTGACGCTTTACTATAAATGTTAGCATAGGGCAGAACTTTATAAAAACCAAACAAATTCTAATGGTTTTCTGATAATTACTTAATGAGTTGTTACTCTTAATCAGATTTTAATGTATTATAAATGTTTCATTACCGAAAAAAGTAAAAATATGGGACAACTCTTGTTGACTGCCCGGACGATATAGCTGCTGTCGGCGAATGTTTCGTTGCCTGGCAACCTATCTTTAACTATTATAGTGAGAACTGTTAACTCGTTATCTAATCTCCCATAATGTATCTTTAATACATGTTATTAAAATTCATTATAATGTACCAGAATAAAACTTTTCCAATTGTGTTCATAAACTTGTAGCATATAATAATAACAATATATTTGATAAAGAATGTATTTTATATATATTTAGGTTGATGTCTGGAAAGAACTATTACTTGCTGCAATAGGTGAACAATTTTCAAATTGTATGGGTGATGGTAAGTAACTCATACATGCAAATATTGGGCCAGACACTAATTCCAATATTTGGCTATTTACTTACCAAGACCCTGAAGAATTAACCAGGAGTCAAGTGTGATGTCATAACAGCCATCTTGGAATTGTGAAGTCATATCAAAATCCACCAATTGATGCACAATTGTCAAAGGAACAACCATGCAAATTTCATGTCAATCATAATTAGCCTAGCCTTGAAGACCGTTGCCAACAAGAACAAGAAGAATAGTAGCACTTAGGGCTCCAGGTCCAGAAATTAAATTATCACAATATGATACATATCACAATATGATACATATCACAATACATGTGTCACAATATGATACGTATCACAATACATGTGTCACAATATGATTCGATCATGATCGATATTCAGGTCACATATTTTTTGTATGTATTATAGGTGATGAAGTCACTGGTATAAGTGTTAGTCTGAGAGATAGAGATGATATTTTACAAATTTGGAATTCTCGAGCTGATTTAGCTGAACAATCAACTATCATAAATAAAGTTAAATCTTTATTGCCTAATGTTACATTTACAGCAGTATTTTATAAAGGTTGGTATAAACCACAGCAAAATATAGTCAATATAGTCAAAGGAGGGTGAAATATAATGTTTGAAATATTGAGATCGGTCATATGTAGAGTAACTAACGTGGCCACAAATGGTGATATGAACTACAAATATGTCATCAAGACAAACACTGATATCAATCTCAAAACTTGAAGTGACACCTCCCTAACTTTTGGGGTTTTCTTCAGGTGTTTTGATTGCCCCCACTGTTAACTCTTTTCATATGCACTTTATGGAAGACTTTTGAATTTCTATTCTGTTGTATAATATCCAGATTGCTTTCAACACCGAGATTGAATAGAATATGACCTGATTCCTAACCGGTACTCCATGTTTTTTTCCTAGACTCCTTATATGGTTGCAGATCCCTTCACACCAGGACTCCTCCTGTGATGGCTACAGAGTCCTTTACACCTAAGGTTAGAGCTCTGAAACATGACTAAAATGTCCTGGGTTTGAATCCCCAAAAGAACCTCTGGATTTCTCAAGAGGTACCATCTGCGGGGCTGACAAGTAATGTGCTGCCTAGTCTTTCTAATGAGACAAAAAACGTAGGTCTGCCCATGTATACATTAAATTGCAGGTAAAAGAACCTTTGACAGTTTGATTTCGATGACGAATATACTATTGTGCACCATTGACAGCATGTTACAAAGCAGTGTAGCCCCATGGTGAAGGTAAAAATTTCCCTCATCACACACTGCATGGTGTAATCAATCTTCATTAGCCTGTTTGGTGCAGAAAAAAAAAACTTTAATCCAATGTCATCTCTTAAACATTTCAGCCTTTGTACAGCATGATGCATTTGAAGGAAAGAAACCCCATCAACATCGATGATGAGAAAATGTTAGTCCAGCTAGAACAAATTTTGTATATATTATGACTTGAAATGTATCAACGATGCCACGCCTATGTATGTGTGAGCTTGTAATTGTGATCAAAACCTCATATCACAACATGGCTAAATTCTCGATCGATCCAGCCAAGCAACTACAGGGCAAATCATTGGTCCAACTCTCACTGGTCTAATGTTCTGTGGTTCAACAAGGATTTCATTACTAAATAGTTACTAGTAGGTATGTATTTTAGATTAGCCGAGTATCAAATTTTTTAAATTCTGTTGTAAGCTGTGTGATCTCCTCAAATGAGAAGTACCAGCAATAAAACATCCCCCCACTCCCTTTTCAGACCAATTGAGCATTGGGCCAGTGAGTGTTGGACCAATGAGAGGACCCCGACGGAAGGTCTCAAGAAGTTTATATACCTACAGCATTGGAGAAAGGTTAGCGGAGACAGCAAGAGAAATTGTGTTCTCTATTATCATAGCTCTGGAACGAAACATATTAAAATTGTAGTGGTATCTACAACGTTTATAAAGAAATTGTAGTATCACTTTCTACAAATCTTTAAATGAGATTGTAGTATCACTTTCTACTAAATTTGTAATGAAATTGTAGTATCACTTTCTACTAAATTTGTAATGAAATTGTAGTATTACTTTCTACTGATTTTATAATGAAATTGTAAGGTAGTGATCACTTTCTACCAAGTTTGTTATAAAATTGAAATATGGATGGTTATATTACTCAACTAGATGATATTATTGTAAATGAAGACCTTACTCATCAGAAGTACAACAGAATTAAGCAGTAGTTTATAATACATAACATTTCAGGTCTCACAACTCTATTGCAAGTGATAAAATGTTATGTATTAAACTGCTTTATTCTTCAAAAGGTTGTTGTATTTCTGTTAAGCTGGAACTACTCTACCTTCATAATGGTGTCTTCTTTTTATGATCCCATAGTTACACAGATGTAATTGGTTTGTCCAACCTCTTTGACTCATTCAAAGAATGTGTTGGTGATTGCCACTGTATCCTCATCAAATGCAGGATTGTTAGCAGTGGCCTTGACTGAACTATTGTTCATCAAATACACAAAGACTGATAGTTGTGGAAAGATTTATCACCCAATTTTATACTTAAAAACAAGATTTAATACATTATATGAAATTCATGGCTCTCATCTCAACATCTTGCCAGCTATTTAGTTGATTTTTAGCTTGATTTGATTTGTCTTGTCCAGCAAGACATTTAACAAAAGTATGGCAACTTTTAACATTATCTAAGTTGTAAAATGAGCTTTTTACACATACAACTTTAAATTGTTCTATATAGGTCATGCTTTATGGTTGAATTCTTGGAAAGACCTAATTTGATGGTATGTTAATTGAATGACAGGTAAATTCTCCAACCAGTCAGTGCCTCTGTCAGTTAGTTAACACTATTAGACATGTCGGAAACAAGAGCCCTGGTGTAATCTATAACAAGTTGTACATTCAAGTTCTAGTCTCTGTCTTGGTTAATCTGTAAAGCAACTGTTTAATCAAAGCAATAAAAATTAACCCTGTGATTCAGTAGAAGATAGGAACTGTCTGTTAAATCAATATGATTTTAAAACGAACTTATAATGTTGGTAACACTGGGAAAATAAAATAATGGTGCTCTGCATCATATTAATGGAGTAATCCTCTTTAACTTAGGTCAGAAATAAAGGGTTAAATAGGGTTGATTTGACTTACATTTCTATAAGTGATGGGAAAAGCTCCATGAAATTAAATATTTATTTTGGTTGTCTTAATTTGTCTGATTATCATGACTGTCTTTGTTTAAAGAGTATGCAGTTTGGATTTCAAAAGACATTTATGATACAGTAATCTTTTGTTTTATATTATATATTTTTGTATGTTAGGTCATGTGTTCCATTTGAAAATTTGAGAAATTCTCTAACATTCTAGAAAATTAACATTTTCCGTCTTTACAATTTTTGTATACATACCGGTATAAATATATAAAAAATGAATATATTACATACATGTACATATTATGAATTTGTTAGCACTAGGCCATTTATAGAGATTTATTAACTGCAGTGATATTTTCATAAAGAAGAAAAAAAAACTCTTGCAAAAGGGCACCAAAGTAGAAAGTCAAGTTCTCTTTGGCAAATTTTGAGGTTGACCCTCCATTTTGATTGAATATTGGGTGTGTATTATTATTAGAACACCCAAATGTTTAATAAAAACAGTTCATGTATGTATGTTTGGTAGATGTATTAGATGTATATGTGTATCGTATAATGAGGGAGATATAATGTTTTTGTTAAAATATCACTTTTTGCCTAACAATATTATAATGAAATGATATTGAGAGAGGACTAGCAGAGGTATTTGATTTAATGAAATAAAAGACATTTACCATTGTCTCAGAAGCTTTTTTTCTTCCTGTTCCTCATTCATTTCTAGGTTAATCAGGCCTATTTCTTACAAACATGATTTATGTTATTGATGATACAAACATGATTTATGTTATTTGTGATATAAACATGATTTATGTTATTTGTGATATAAACATGATTTATGTTATTTGTGATATAAACATGACTTATGTTATTTGTGATATAAACATGATTTATGTTATTTGTGATATAAACATGATTTATGTTAATTGATGATACAAACATGTTTTATGTTATTGATGACACAAACATGATTTATTTTTTTGATGACACGAACATGGTTTTATATTATTGATGACACCAACATGATTATGTTATTGATGATACAAACATGTTTTATGTTATTGATGATGCAAACATGATTTATGTTATTGATAATGCAAACATGTTTTATGTTATTGATGATATTGTTATGGGTGATGCAAACATAATTTATGTTATTGATGATATTGTTATGGGTGATGCAAACATAATTTATGTTATGGATGAATTATTTAGAGGTTATCTTGTTACTATTACACAGTCTTCCCAGTTGGTGCAGAATAGTGCGAGGTTAAACCCCATTTCATTTCATTTTTTACTATTGCACAAGAAAGGAAAAGATCTCTTTGATTGAAGTCAAAATAAAAAGTGTTGAATTATTTAGTTTCACAAGATGGACATCTTACTACATTTTGAAATGAATAACTGACTCTCTTTCAACAGTTAACAATATCAATTTAAAAATAAAGAAGTTTAAACGACTCAACCAAAATGAAAAGATGTCATATTCAGCTTTTCCCATACATCAACACAATTCAGCATTTTAATTTTTAGTAAATCAAAGATGATCTTCACTTTATCTGTGTGTACCACTAATTGCTTTATAGAATTTTTTTAAGTTTCATGAATTATGTTTTATTAAGAAATAGGCCAGTGATTGTTGTTATTATTAGTTACATATTATGGGCTGTGATGATTGCTTTGTAGATATTATGTATTATATAGCAGGATATATTCATTGTTAAAATTATTTTTTGCAATAACCAATTCATAATGTCATAAAATGGCAAGGATCAAATTATGTTGAATAATGATAGTTTGATTGAAAGACAGGTTGATATCCATATCTAAAATGAAAAGTCCCAGAGAATTTAAAAATTTGTATAAAAATTTTCCAAAGTATCTGAGAATAAAAGTATTGGATATGTTTTGCTTTATGTTTGGGCAAAGAAAGAGGCCATGATAATTACATCATGTGGTGTTGCTCTTAATCACTTACCAGTGTCTTGTACATGCTTCTCTTAACTACAAAAGAATAACAATGTGACAACCTTTAGTATTATTCAAACAATATTTTATTCATTTGAAAAGGATTGAGAAACATGCAAAGATCTATATAAGTTATTTCTAAGGGTACAGAAAAGGGTTTTAAAAAATATGTCAAAAATATGCATTGGCTTTTCAAAATAAGATTCAACATTTATGGACAGCTCAGGCGGCTTAGCTGTGTGTTTATGTTTCACTGCCTATCAAGCTATATTTCTTATTCATAGATATAGATATTTTGATTATCTGATATGTATTCAAACCAACATTAATTCAGTTTGAGCAATTTTATTGGTATTAGCAGATCAAAAGTTCAATAATGTTGCAATTCTCCTATCAATTGTCAATATTTGATTCTAATGAGAATAATTCTTAAAAGAAAAAAGAGACATAGTCTGTATTTATTTCAATCAGAATGTTATTAGATTATTAGTATGTTATATTTTTTTTACAGATGAACTGTCTAGTCATTAAGATGGTATGAAAAAATAAAAGTTCTCTTAAAGTCACTGATGTCATAATTTGATAAGTTTTTGGCTTGTTTTTCTTAATTCAATCTTAGGGTTAGGCCTTGAAAAATTGGGTATGTAAATTCAAATGACATTAGCAGTTTTGATAATTCAAACTTTGTAATTATTTTTTTATACACACTTTTCAAATTTTATTGGTTATTACCAGAGAAATCTGAATTACTTACTTAAGTCTGCAAGTAATAATTTGCAAATATTGTGTTGGCAGTTGAGGACATATTTTAAAAAAATCATTTTTTAAAAAACCATTATACTCCAAAATAAAATATCAAACCAATCATTAGCAAAATATTAAAATTTTATATTTGGCAGTCTTTTAAATCGTCTGTCATCCTCTAGAAAAATGTTACAACTGGACATGAAAATAAAAAAGATCAGCCATGCACCTGATAAAAAAGCATTTGATGTACATTATTATTGTCTGTAAATAAAGCACCTGTCACAGACATTGTCAGACACAAATTCAGGCTTTCTCAGGCACAAACTCTGGTGCCTGTTATTTTATAGTTGGCTGATTTATTACTTTTCAGTGTTCAGTAATACCGTTAATACATTTTAGTTCATTATATTCAGGTTTGAGTTTGTGCACAATATTTGACCCGACTGGTTATCATTGACAAGTTGTTATTCTCCATAGATAATCCTTATTTGTTATCTCATTCTTTCCGGCCATTACTTCATGTACTTGTAGTGTATTAAACTAGGTTGAATTAGGCTAACTAAATAAACTATGTAAAACAGTTTGAACTTTAATAGCTTTTATGGTTTTTTTTCATATCGTTTTTGTTTTGTTTTGATCTGTATCAGCCATTTATTAAAATCATCAAACCATTAACTTTTGTTGTTTTTTTTTATTTTATGATTCAGTGCTGATTGGGAAGAACAAGCCGGGTGGGTTGGTAGGGGAGGACACATCCATCTGTTAAGATTACGTAACCCTGCGTGTGGAAATTTCCATCCTCCCAAACAGACCGGAATATAGAATCGCCTTGCTTCGCTTATCTGCTGTTTAAATGATAGTAAATGTGTCCTGTCACAGTGACGAAAACAATGATATTCATTTATTAAAATGGGAAGGGGGTGTGGGAGGGGTCGCCTACCTACCCACGGGTTCAAAAGTCCTGCATCGCTCTGCTATAGATCCTATGCGAATGCGATTATTAAAATATTATTTAATTGTGCGTATATTTAGCGCTGATTTCCTTATTGGTCGTTTAGAATCCCCCAAACGTACATAGTTTGCACTGTTGGGCACCTTAAATTAAATGAAATGGGGTTTAACGTTCAACTGGGCAAATGAAGACGGGCATACGCCATACACTGTGCTATTAGGGAAATTTTGCCCAGACAGCGCCGCTACGGCCTAATAATATCGAATTCCAACTGCCAAGGGATTTTTTACGTGCATGCCAATGTGTACACGGGACCTCGGTTTTTCGTCTCATCAGAACGAATAGACAGCTGTTTGTTAGGCCCTCCGTCCTGCACCACTGACAAGGGGGAACCACGCTGGAAAATTTGGATGAACTTTCTCGGCGAACACCGGGGTAGAACCCGCGACCTCTGGACTAGCGAGCCAGCGTCTTACTCACTTAGCCACCGCGACTCCTGGGCACGTGAAAGCTGACCGGTTAAATCTGATAGCCAGCGCCCGATTTACGACTGTTTAATTCCCCAGCAGTGTTTAAGATTATGCGGTCCACTTAATTATGAAAGGTGATCATTATTATTAGCTTAACCGTCCAGTTTCCTGAGTGGTGAATCATCCAAACGCACATGTTTTGTACTGTAGACCACTTTAATGCTGACCGTTGAATTATGATAACAAGCGCCGAATTTACGAGCTGTTAATTTCTGAGCAGTGTTTCAGATGAGGCGGTTAACTTGGGGCCCGTGTGCATGTAAAAAAATCCTGGAAAGTAATCGGTTGTATCAATCATAAAACAGATGTGTATGTTCAGTAATTAACAACATTTCTTTATATGGTTTAATCTCACTGTGCCCCCCAATCAACTGGTGTTATAGGGTAGTGGTGTGAAAATTTAAGTAGACAAAGGATTATAGACTGTATCCTTATTAGTACTGTTCACCAAGTTAAAATTTAATTATTTTAATGATTAAAATATATAAGTTAAGTTCACGTGTCATCGGTTAACGAGTATCTTAAATATTATTCACCTACTTTTCATTCAGACAGTACTCATAAATCAATCAAATATATGATTAGAAACTCACTATCATTATATAAGGATAGTTGTCACCCCCAATTACATTATATCTTTTAAAATGGCTCAAGTTCGCATAGGGTTAATTCCTAATTCTCAAGGAGGTCAAAATTTAGTTAATTTAGGGTATAAGTACAGAGTAAAAAATACAAAACCCAATAGCACCAGCAGACTTTTACTGAAAATACAATAGTTCAGTTGGATAACGGGGGACGATTGCCCCCTAAAAGACGAAAATATAAAAGAGTAGAAGAATCTATTAATGATCTAAAAATCAAACTGTTAAATGGAGTAAAAAGTGCGATTGAATATACTGACGCCATATCACATTTAGTAGGGTTATGATTTATGTTTGATACATGTATTTGTTGTTACTTTTATGAAATTTATTGTGAATAAAGTTGTTAATTAGTTTAAGACTAGTAGTTTAAAAAAACAGACTATACTTTTAACACCATTGTATTCGATAATCCCCTTGCTTGATTAATCCCCCCATGAGAACAATAGCAGGGGGCACAGTGAGATGTCCCCCTTTATATAATTATTGACAGTATTTTATACAATTAAATGGAACCAGATGTTCCCATACAGTTAGAATATACATAAAGGCTGCTGTAAAAAAAGAGACATAACAAACAATAAGTATCACAGACGATGTAAATTTTGAAAAGTATAAAACACTAATTTATTACATACAAAAAAAATATGATTTCTACTAGTTAATGACATGCTTTCATTAGTAAGAGCTAACGGCATATATATTCATTTCTGGGAGAGAGAGAGAGAGAGAGAGAGAGAGAGAGAGTTTAACGTCCACTCGACACAAACTAACATATGCTTTAATTTTATTTGATTAATAGGAGTCTTTAGTAGTGGGTGGTCCCGGGGAAAAATCACGAGATTGGGCAGGCGACCCAATCCTTTGTCACGTACAAGCGGCGCGAATTGAAACCACGCCACTTGACCCAACGACAGACCTTATAATCTAAAGCGCACGCATTAAACCATTGCCCCCCCCCCCATTTCTAAGAGCCAGTCGTTCAACGTTTAACAATATTATCAGACATTATAATTTAGGTATTCTGGAAAGTGACTCCATACCGTGCTTACAATGTCTGTGATTTGTTTCGTTGGCATCGCTTGTTGCCTTGTTGTGGTCTAGTTTGTTTGATCTGTGTGTGATCTACCTGCTACCTGCACTCATGGTTAAGAAAAACTCAAATGTTCTGGTTGAAAAAAACCCCAAGTCTTTTAAGTTCAGTGAAATGGGTAATTTTGGTTTGCTCCTTCGGTGCGTTTGTTTTTTTTTTTTAAAATCATCATCTTATTTTTTTTTACAAATATATGTAAACACAAGCAAATATTTTTGAAAAACAAATATAAGTTTAAGGGTTGATTCGTGGCTTAACTACGATCTTGTATGGATGGGGGCTAATTACAAGTCCATTGTCCATGGGTTCCAAATTCATTGTCTTTCCTGGTTCTGGTTCTATGACCAATCTCTGACAAAAACCTGCTAGAATTAAATGCAGTTCTGGTTTAGCCATTGGTTCTCCAAGGCAAACTCTTCTACCAGCACTAAATGGGAGCCAGTTTTCGGGTTTTGGTGCCATTTTTCCATCACTATCTAAAAATCTTTCTGGTTTAAACTTGTCCACTTCTTCCCAATTATCTGGATCATTCTGAATTCCCCAGTGATTGATGAAAACCATGGTATCCTTAGGAACCTCATATTTACCTGCATTGATTAATAAATACAATTCTTATTGGATGAAATATTTTAATAAACAGAGTAAATGATGGAACAGAATCAGTTCATTAACACTTCCTGGCTGTTTATATTTCACTTGTTTCAGTTTCCTTGGTGTAAACACGTGTCTTTATTGGGAACGTCCAACAAGACGTGGAATATAATCGGTCAACTCAAGACGAACCTACCAATTAAAACCTTTGATGCAGCAAATTTGAATGTTTTACTTTTCTGGCTACCTAAATCGCTATATAGCAATCGGCTCTAACAAATTCTGTAAGGTAGACGACTCCAAAATTTGTGCAAAAAGATCGATTATTATTTTAAGATCAGTAGTGGAATACCGCGTTTTATCAGTGAAATAAAAGTGTTATTCCACTGGCTAACAGTGAAATAAAACTTGTTATTTCACTGGCCGCCGGGAATACTTTTTTTCTGGAGTTACACTTTTTAGTGACAAAATTATGAAAACAATATGGCCGACACGCCGACTTGTCGATCGTTACATTCTCAAAGGTATTCATACACCAGAAGCAGATAAAGATGTAAAGCGGTCTAACCCCCCGCGTTGTCAAAGCGGACAAAGTAGTCCATGTTGTTTTTACCTAAAATGATTGTAAAATCATAAAATAAATAGAACATTTGTCGTTTTATCGTGAATAACATATTTTATTTCATCTCGAAGCAAGAAAACGTTTATATTTTCACTCATGCTACGCATTCGTGAAAATATAAGTTTTCTTGCTTCTCGATGAAATAAAATATGTTATTCACTCTAAAACGACAAATATCCTCTATATACCTGCGACATCGTGTGGGAATATTGACATACCATCCCACAAACAATACTTTAGCAAATTAGCAATCTGATTAAAATGCAGATCTATATTTCGTTTTGTTTTTTTATACTTTCGATGGCCTACACTACACGAAGATCTGGCTGGTTGTAGTGGATGGTCGCGTCTGGTGTCATATGAGCGGCTCAATCAGCGTTGACGTTTCTAGTGATTTACCCACAGTTTCGTGCACCTCACGCCAAAAACTCGCCGTAACAGACCGTTTCATTGGCTAATCCCTCACATCTTTCAGAACGCGGGTTATATAACAACTCTTCCAGGTCCTAGTGTAGTAAACCCCATTTCTCTCTATATATGGATAGATATCCAACAGTTTAAAGTCCTACCATTATCTATCGTAGTATCACAGCTTGTCATGTGAGGAACTCCTACTGGTACCGCTGTTCCTAGTCTCATAATTTCATGTAATGCAGCATCTGTATAAGAGAGATTTTCTCTATCTGATGTGGAAGGGTATCTACCATTCCCTGTAATAGATTTATTTATTGGAAATTTAAACTAACGCCTAGATTACTGGATTGAGATTCAAAATAAAAAGTATCGGAATGAGGTTTTCTTCCGTAGATGTATAATCAAGCCTATTAATCTTTACCTTCCCCAAGTTTTATCATCCCGTTAGCATGGTAAGCGCATGTCCTCAACCCTTATTGGAACTACACTATATTATATACTAGAAGAATGCCCGGCTTCGCTCGGGGGTCATAACCCCGAAACCGGAAGTGGTAGACTAACGCCACCTGGCCTATGTTACTCCCCGGTCCAAGCTACCCCTATACCCCAAATTTCAGACTCGGGGCAGACCTAGTGTAGCCGCCAACCACGAACAGACAGACAAACAGACAGACAGACAGACAGACAGACAGACAGACAAACGACAGTCACAAATATTAGTATAGATAGATATGGTGGGTTAATTCAAAATAGTACACCATTAGATCGCGATGTCAAAATACATAGATACAAAGAACTAACGGGGTTCCAACAGAGACAGTGTGAATATTAAAAAGGCAACATTAAAAACATAAAATTATAAAAAATGACTTGGCCTTCGCCATTATTTTCGCCCTGATTCCAATATAGCAGCCACCAAATCATATAAAAGTCTCCCGGTGACCACATATACTTTAAAATGTTCATTTTCATTTAAATTTGCAACGTCGGGCGTCCAGCACATATAGCATAATTATATAAATACTAATTACCAACGACCGAATCCACTTCATCTTGTATTTTCTTCTGTACATCTGGAAGGCCAGCCATATACATTAAAGCCCAGTATAATGTTTGTCTTGAGGTATCATTACCAGCTGAAAGACATGCAGTTTTTATATCATTATCTTATATTGTAAATTTCCAGCGAAAACTGTGGAAGCTGGTAGTAAATGAAAAGTTCACAATATATTCGCTATGTGGTTTTTGATTGGAGTTTGTGAAGTATGACATGGGTTAATTCATGATGAATCTGGGATTCTTGACCTTTTTGTAGGTTTAGTGGAGCTTTTTCCGATCTGAAGCTTTGGTTTTATCATTGAATTTTAGTTTATTCAAATTCATCTATGACATTTTTAGCATGTAAACTGTATCGCGCGGTAAAACCCAGTCACAGGGAAGAACTGAATATTACAGTTTTATCGGTAAACATAATTACTAATATTGTGCTGTCGTATAACTAGCCTTGTAACATGAAAAGAGGTGGACACAAGATCGACCCTTGTTGTAACCCACAATAATTATATGGTCGAACTATTCAAATACAACACTGAGATCTGCGTCATAGGTATGTTAACATCTAATACATATCAATAAATAAATCTGCTTTCATATTGTATAACCCAAAATCGGCAATGACTATCATCTACCATCAATATTGACTGTAGCTAAAATTTTATTAATTTTGGTTAATCTGTCTACACTACTTAATTATCAGTTCTCTGTTATTTTCATTTCTAATTTTTGATCAATCCAAATCTTATCCATAGGTCAAGCCAGTTCTTGTTAGACATTAATTACTGTAGTATGGAGAAAGAGAAACGAGTGATTTACTTTGATTAAGACTGCTTCAATATTGATAAATTTATTTCTTTACATACCTAAAAACATGTCAAATACTATCAACACTATGTGGTGATGTTTAAAGTGGGTCATATTCTCTTCGCCTTCTTCTCGCATTTCTCTTTCGGCTTGAAGAAGACTTTCTGTGAAGTTGGTTATTTTACCTGAAATGAGCCAATGGCTGAGTATAATTATTTCTAAACGATATAATTATTAGTTTGATAACATTGTGAGAATACTCTTCGAAATGTCGCCTAAATAAATCAGTAGCTGTTTTTTCCCATAAGTATGTGTTACAGTTTAGTGATATAATTATTGTCATTTAAAATATGTGCAACTAAATTACAAAACCTACATACCTGGTACAAATTGACCTTCTATCCTTTCGATATTAGATCTCATAATATCCAAAAAATGTTTAACTAGTTGGATAGCACGTTTAAACCTTTTTGACGGGAACCATCTGGCCGGTGGGAACATATTTTCTAGAAATACTCCCTCTGAACTAACTCTGGTAATCTCCTCAAAGCTGTTGAGTAGATCTAAGTAATTTTCATCGTTATATTCATACCTTATGAAAGCCAAAACATCAGAAGAATTAGTCAAAGTGTTTCAACTTTATTTCACAGAAGAAGTTATTATATTTTTTTATTATGCCTCAAAGAATGTGAGTAAAAAGTTAATGATCACGACCTGCCTTGTCTTTACTGTCTACTTTGTACTTGTATTATCCATTTAGCAATCAGATTTTGTCTATTTGTGGTTTTATTAGAATATTCCGTATGATATATTCCAATTGTGATCCTACTTTTGCAAAACACTAAAGATATGGTCCACTGAAGACGTGACGTGTATAACTCTGTTAAAATTTCATTATTTAAATCGATCATGTTTACATTAGTTTTTATTTTATTAATTTCTCGCCTCATTCTCAGACATATAAATCAATAATGCTGCTATGTTATTTCTAAAAGACTACCCATCCTTTATTTCTAAAAATAGGATGGGCTTATTGTACCTAAAAACACCTGTCTATATATTGCATTTGTGCATATTTTGACTTTAGGATGTGACCAATCTAGCTTGTCGAGGATTTAATTAAATTGATTTTTTAAATTATAATTTTTCACCGTTTAGTGAGTAAATTATGCCCATACTCCTCACAGTGTCTCAAACCATTGCTTCAGGAATATGATTATGCCAAGTGATCCTTTCCGTTCTTTTTTGAAAATTTAATTTCATTCAGTAAATTGTTATATACTTACTTTGCGCCGAAGACCATGCCCCCTAAAATATTTAAAGTTGTAAAGAACATATAGGGTTTAGGATCAAAAGGCCCTTTCTCTTTTAACATGGCTTCCACTGTTTTAGATACAGCTTCTTCTAACTTTATATTAAAGTTTCCACTAACCATAAATAACCTAAAATGGTATATTTTTATTTGTACATTGATTGTTTATATAGGGGTTTAATATAGGCTATGTCAGTTCTCCAGTTCCTATTTAGATAAAAATTCTGAATAAAAAAATATTGTTTATAGAAAATAAACCGAAATGGTTGCAATACCTTATGATATTAAAATGAAATGGTATAAATAAGCTACAGTAACTAGATATGATAACAATAACGTTAAATTATCTTAGTCTGGTAAGAATAAAGTTAAATCAACCTTATCTGGTATAGTAATAATAACGTTCAATTAACCAGAAATGGTAATAATAACGTTAAATTTACCTCATCTGGTAACAATAACGTTAAATTAACCAGAAATGCTAACAATAACGTTTAAATATCCTCACATGGTAAACATAAATTGTAATATCGAAACAACTCAACGTGATGCACCATATGTAGGTAGGCTTAGACCAAAAATGCACCATAGGCGTTATCCTCTAGCTAATCTTTATACGTCTCACCCATGCCCGTCCGTCCGTTCCGTTCACTGGCTCATCAACGAGATAGTGACTGTATACAGTTCTGCATTTACCGCCCCTTTGCCGAAAACATTCTTGACGCGATACTGTGTACAGTTTTTAAAATATTTTTTCAGATTTGGTTTTGAAGAATTTGATAGTAAGATGACGAATCCTATTGATATTCAGCGTTCAGCGACCTTACATTCGGGAGTTACACCCCCCCCCCCTCATTCCGATAATCTGCTGTCTATGTCTATATTTTCAAGACACAGTTGCTTTCTGAGGGGATCTTTTACAATGCTGTGTCCGCTGACTTATCTAGCCTATATCATTTACCTCATAGCACGACCTGCTATCTTTCTTCTTAGTTTCCATCCAGTGCCGTATCTACCGTTAATAATATCTTGTCCTCCCTCGAAAAGAATTTCATCTGGCAAAAGTAATAAAAGTCTGTATTAGTGAATGGATTGGGGCTTAATGTACATGTTTAATTTGGGGGGATTTTCCCCTGGGTCTTTGTGGATTCTTTTTCGATTTCCAACTGCTATCTGATCTTGCACTATCAATTTTGACAAGAGGGCTCTAGACCAGACACACTTTTCTTATCACCAGCAGAAACCATCCATAAAGACACGCTTTATAGGCCGATTGGTGCTGACGTATCATTAATCTCCATTTGATTTCACCGGTCCGGCAAATCTTGAAGGTTCTTCTCGATTATTCCAGTGTCCTAACCACACACACGCAGTACATATTGAATCGAAATGTGTACTTGTGTATTCTGTGATGATGTCTTGTCAAATGCTATTCACAGGCTAAGCTGTATTATGCATTTAAGAAATTTCAGTGAAATAAAAAAATGGGTTTAATATCCAACTTCTGTGTACAAACCGGGATAATGAAGACGAACTTACACCAGGCAATGTGCTATGAGGACAATACTTTAGCCGGACTGTCAAGAAGTAAAAGGGAGAGAGCGAGCGATAGCGATAAAGCGAGAGAGAGAGAGAGAGAGAGAGAGAGAGAGAGGTGGGGGGGGGTAATGTCCACTTGAAACAAACTAGGTCATTTCGGGACCAAGATGGTTTAATTCTATTCCTTCTATGGGAGGAAACCATAGAACCGGAAGAAAACACACAAGATTGAACAAGCGACCCTACTCCTTGTCACGTACAAGCGGGGAATCGAACCGACGCCACTTGACCCAAGACCTTATGGTTTCACGCACACGCATTAAACCACTAGACCCCGTCCGCTCCCGCCCCCACCAGCCAAGGTAAAACAAAATGTTTACTTACTAGAATAAATCGGGAAACGATCAGAGTAGCTAGCTCCCTTGTTGAGCAAAGCTTCATTAATAACATCAATACGGTTTAATATAAGACAGCGTATTGGTCCTGAAATGTCAATATACATGTCATATTAATATAAGACATCGTAAACAGTACTGAAGTATTAATGATTGGTCTTAAAATAATGTCTGTGATATCACTTAGATGGAAGTGGACGATAAATAAAGCTTTGTCACACAAACGTGTCATCAAATATATTAGGATGTCGAGAAAATGTAGTTAAAAGGTGAAATATTGAAGTTGTCTTCTTGTTAGTGTCTGGGCGAGTCACGTTGGATACATGGCAGCTTGAAAATGAGGGCATGGCAACATTTTGTTACTGGGACCTCAGAGAAGCAGCATTGTTTCTACACAAATTCCAGACTTTTCATATCTTTTTTATTTACTCAAACGGTCATGCGAGTTGCGTTGAGCTGGATTTTTGTATGGTCCTAAATTTTCATTATCAATGAATATTTAATCAAAACTTTCGTGATTTTAAATGTAATCGACACGTATATAAGTTTCTGAAATAGAGAATACTATGAAAAAGTTGTTTATCTATTCCTCTTACCCATGTAAAACATAAAAGCTGGTCCATATTTTTTCGACATTTTGAGGAATTTCTTTGCCAGGTTACCTTTTCTATATACTGAAATTAGATTATTATACAATATTAAACATTCGTATTCGTTTTTAATCAATGTAATAATAATTTTTGAACACCATATTTGCCATTTTAATATTTACATTTAAAGAAAAAGCAAATGTAATGACTTCAGTGTGTTATATTACGTTCATATTATCACGCCAATATTTAAGATCTATACTCAGGCGCCTGCGGAGGGGCAGTGAACATTTTAGGGCGATGGTCTCTCCCGCGGAAAAAGGGGGTACCGGGGTTCTCCCCCGGAAAAGTTTGAAAATTAGACGACCACAAACGTGTTTTCCAGCCAAGAAAATCGTTCTCTAGCGAACTGTGAACAATGAACTATTGGGCAAATCAGTACAAAATATATGGCAGATAGATATCAGAGCATAACCAATAACATGTAATGTATAATAACGTCCCCAAATCAATACTCTACATGATGATCACTGCTGTCTATTACAAGTAGGTATTTTAGAACTATGGTCGGCAACTTTTTTCCCAATGGCCGGGGGGGGGGGGGGGCACTGCCTCCGACTGACTACGGGAGTGGTCTAGAAGGACATTGCCGTGGTTTTAATCTCAATCCACTCTAATTATTTACATGTATGCACCTAATGGTTCACAAATTGTCTCAGATATTCTGATTTTATAAAATTAATTCGCTGTTAATTGTCTCCCCCGCTCATATCCCTGAACACGTCCCTTATACTGTTCAGAGGGGCCATACTATATACCGGAAAACACCGGAAAACAACCGGAAAACACCGGAAAACACCATTTTATACTGAATACCGGAAAACACCGGAAAAACACTAAATTCCGGAAAACATCCTAAATACCGGAAAACACCCTAAATAGGTAACCCGGAGCCTGGTCCTCTGTGTGCGGTTTTAGACCAAGTGAGCGCCGATGAAGGAAGGTCAAGGTCATTACGATGTTCGTTTTACAAATAGCCCCCCCCCCCCCCAAAAAAAAAAAAATTAAAAAAATTCCGATTTATTTTCTCTAAAATTTTGTTGATGCCTATTATGTTTTGAATGTTTTAAAAGACGCAATTAGTCTACCTCCATCATTGAACATATTTTATTTTGTATTTTAATTTTAGTTTTCATTAAATTTCAGTAGATTTCAGTGTTTCAGTATTTCATTAGATTAAGCACTGCCCTCGGAGGGCCCCATTATATGCCGGTTGCGCCGGTCTCCTGGTTCTTACCAGTAACGCTGGCATCAGGGTGGTACGAATTAGTGGAAGACACGACTAGGCCAACTCCTCCCTAGGTAACAAAAAATCGCATCATAAAACAGCAAGTATCATCAAAAGCGAGTTAATAAATCTCTGAATAGTTCGAGTTGAAGTTCCAGGTTTAACCGCTATGTGTCCTAATCACCAAACGAAATGGATGCCACGCAATTCTCGGACAGGCTGTAATCTGAAAAGTGTTTATCCTTTCCAAGAGCTATCCATCTCGTTGGAAGGGCTAAAAATCTACTTGTTTCTGAGCTTACTTTCATTCCATGGTCAAATATAATCACTTGAACCGTAATAATATTCAACATATTCCATCATATTCCGAGGGCCGCACACATGATTTTTTTCTGGATTACTTTTCGAGCTGTTTTCCCCAACCTGTTGACCAGTTTTCCTTGAGAAAACCCCAACTTTCGCCCAATTGTCCATGAGAAAACTACATAATCTATCTTACTGCATTGACGGGAAGTGGTAAGCTGGACGTCTGTGAAAAGGGTTGATCGATAAATTTTCAAGGAAGCAATTGTTGTTTTTGTTTGTGAATTAGAGGACTCTAGCCGATGGGGCTACTTTCCCCCCGAGAATCTCAGGCAACCAATTTGTTTTATGTACTACTATCGTAATAAAACATTACTATGTTAACTACTTCCTGATGGCTGAAGACTTACACCGAATGCGTATTCGGAAAAAAATGTCCCCGAGAAAATGTTTTTTCCGGATCGATATTCGAGATGTCTTCTTTTGCACAAATTATGCTGCACTGCTGCGTCCTTTGATCTGAAGATTGTAGATGGAAAAGTATCATTTGCACTATTTCAAAGTAAACCTGCATTTTCGTATATCATCCCGTAATTTGTGATTAATGACAATGACTGTGGAAATAATATGGGTTGAGGAACGGACTGGACAATTTCACCCCCGTCCCACCCTGACGATGATCCCTCCCGGAGCGGCGCGGCGCGGCGCGGCGCGCTCTCTAAAAAAATCTCGGGCACAGTTTACTCTTCTAAGTTTTCCGGTAGCTATTTAGTAACCCGGAGTTTGGTCCTCGTGTGTGGTTTTGGACCAGGTGAGCGCTGATGAAATAAGTTCATTAACATACAAGCGAGCGATCGCCTACAGTCAAAGAAAAATTTCTTTTCAGATTTTTTTTAACAATTTCTTCTCCTAATTTCTCTCAAAAAAAATTTTTTTTCCAGTATTTTTCTCTGTAAAATTATTTTCTACGGATTGTTTTTTTGTAAAACCAATTTTTCGGGAAAATTCGAATTTTTTTTTGTGACAGAAATTTTTTTTCGTCAAAAACATTTTGGCGAAAAAAAAATCGGAAATTTTTTTTTTTTGGGGGGGGGTGGGGTGGTGGGGGGGGGCGTATTTGTAAAACGAACATCGTAATGACCTTGACCTTCCTTCATCGGCACTCACTTGGTCCAAAACCGCACACAGAGGACCAGGCTCCGGGTTATCTATTTAGGGTGTTTTCCGGTATTTAGGATGTTTTCCGGTATTTAGTGTTTTTCCGGTGTTTTCCGGTATTCAGTATAAAATGGTGTTTTCCGGTTGTTTTCCGGTGTTTTCCTGTGTTTTCCGGGGTTTTCCGGTATATAGTATTGCCGTGTTCAGAGTATTGATAATACTCACCTTCTGTATTTCCAATCAGGGGCCAAGCAAAGGGTCCTGGGGGTAAACGATATCTCTTCTTAAAGATAATATAAGCCAGAGCACCTGTTGCGACACCAATCAATATAGATCTACTAATTTTAGATTCTGGTATATAATCATACACTACATCCGGTATATATTTAACTAGTTCTTCTAGTATATGTTTTATGGAGTCTATTATTGCCATCTTGGAAACTGGAAACTCGGTTATCTAGATATGAAAAAAGTGCATATTGTATAAAATTCAATATTATTACATAACTATTGTATCCATTCTTCAGTAGCAGTAAGACGCTAAACCCCACGTCACATTTCATTTCCATTCCTATTCCTCAGCAATTTGCCAGGCCAAAGGGACGATTCGTCACATAAACGTTGATCATATAGACGATTGGTCATCCTAACGTTGAAACTTGGCGCTGATGGCTGAGACGATTTGTCACTCTGACCTTAAATCCTCTAGACAATCGAATTAACGCCAGCTGACCGATCACTCTGGTCATTGGTAGCCGAGATGATAGTTTTAAAACCAATATTGTTACTCTTAATCAGTATGGACAAGCGAAAGTAAAATCATTAAGGTAATAGCAAATGGGAGCTGAGATATATGAATAAATACAACCTGCACTTTCTAAGCTTGTTTATTGAATGTATTATGATACATATCACCATGTCTGTGAAATTCCACTGCGTAACAACCTGATCTTCACTATATAAGATAAATAAAACTCACCTTTACGCAGTTATGACTTCCAGTTCTTTTGCAACAATGTAGACCGTAGACTGTCAAGTTCTACTGTACGAGTTGTCATCTATAAAGGATTGTGAAATGTTTATAGGTCATGTACATATATATATAGGCTCTAATATCAAATTAGGTCATGATTCACCGTACATAGAAAGAGTATCTAGAACTAATATTGTCACTGACGAAATAGAAATAATGGATTGCAAATATTTTGACACAAAACGTCCATTCAGCCAACAACTCCATTGACCCTGCACTATTTACACAGTCAATAAATCAGATAACGAAACATTTATTTCTCTATTGCGGCAGAACTATCCAGAACATAAAAACGTCAAGGGGAAACCACTGCAATCCCTTCCCAGCAACCTGATTTAAAGTAACTAAGTCTCTAACTCAATATTATCCATTGAAAACCCGAATTATTAAGTCAATTTAAATCAACACTGATGTTGTTATCTTACTTGGAAAAGATGGGCTTCTGATATCCAATATTTAAGACAAAATAAACATTTTACCTTTGGTACACGAATCGTGTACCATAATGCGTTTCAACGCCATTTGTAACAGGGGACTCGAAGAACGAGGCTAGACATATTCCACGAGTCATGTCAAACGGTCACGCCATATTCTCATCTGAAGAGCATGCACGATAAATACTACCTGTGTAGACTGGAATAACCAGACGTTAGTGATTGCCATTCGATTGAGACATCTGACGTATTTCGCCGAACATAACTGATTTAAAATTAGAATAAAAATCCGAAACGATTGAATGTAAATCAGTTTATTTACATTCATGTTACATAATTATTTGCGTTGCGACCCATTTGTGTCAATTCTTAGGTTCCAAATATTATAGATTTAGCTCCTTTAACTTCTCGCGCAACGATTTATTGATAGGTGAAATTGAGCGAGTCCCCCCATCCCCCTCGATGCACGATTACTCTGAATTACCACCAAAAGAAAGCCATGAAACTTCTTAATTGCGCCAACATGTTTGTTTTAAATAAAAAAAGTACCCCCCTCCCCTTTCCCCATCCCCACCAAACTCGGGCAAGATAACAGTCTAAAAACAGAAGCTTTAGCTAACATTCATTAGTTTTATTTCTATTTTATCTACACATTTTAGGTCAGGTACAATCTAACTTTAATAAAACTCTGAACCTTTTTTTTGTTAAATAAAATACAGATAAGTACATTAAGTTCGATATATTGGCGAAGTATTACACCAAGTACATATCAGCCATTTAAATCACGTAGCCTAACAATCTAGGTCGATGTAAATCAACAAACATAAAACTCTATTTACACTTGTTTATAAATAGAAGAGGATTCTCCGTGACCGAGTGATTAACATGATGGCTCGCTAACCAGGAGGCATAGTGTCCGCTCCCGGTGTTGTTTCCTCAGCGGTGTACAAGAACCTAGGTCCCACGTACACGCGTTCAGATTGACGTACACGTTGACGTGACAGTTGGAATTTGACATAAGAGTAGTATGGGCTGTATTTTGGGTTCACTGTTTTAGTGTGGCTGATAATCACTTAAATGTAGTAATTTTTCACATTTATCAATGCAAATTTTCTTTAATAATTCACACTAAATTCAAACAATATTTATTAAAATAAGATTGATGTGATAATACACACATTGTAAAAAGTGCTTATATTATTTCGTCTCCTTGTTACTAAATATGCAGCAAAATGTTAAAGATAAATTATGGGAGATTAGATAAAGAGTTGGCCGTTTTCACTATAATAGTTAAAAACTAGATAATGTAAAGGGAATTTGCTGAATTTAGCGATCATCATTACTAGAGTCGGTAGGATGAAAAACATAGTCTCGATTATCCATTTCATGATTAAATCACGAATGATATTTGAGTAGAAAATCGGATCCTAATCAAGTAAATATCGCAGGCTAAAGATGACATCGAGAGTTGATCATGGTCTGAATAAGATGATCAATATCTAGTTAATAATTTAGATAACATTTCAGGCCTAAAGAAAGACCTGTAATATGCAGATTTAGCTCTTGCATAATGTATGTTTAACATATGTAGACTAGATATAACTTATTCCCAGTTTAGTATGTGAAAATGTAAATGAAAAGTTAATATCGAGTAAATAAATATGCCAGGGGCATAAACAAGCGGAATTTATTTTCCGAACCGTTTATCCTTTTCGCTGCAAAGTTAAATGAAAAGGCAAATAAATATTACTTTAATTTAGCCGCTTGACTTCATGTACAATATACACTTAAAGGACAGTGTTGGTGCCAGGCATTACCACATATGTAATAATATCTGACACCAACATTGTCCTTTAAAAGCCGTAACGGTTTATATGATGATCTAAATACATTCTTAACTTTCATTTATCGTGGGAGTTAACAGAACAACTAATAGTTTTTTTTGAAAATTAAAATGTAGCTCAGCTCAGCTAGTCCTTAATGCGCATAAGCATAAAATACACATATCAATCTTTATTCTATAAAAGCGTAAAAAAAAAGTGTATTTGTATATTATCAAACTTCAAAGAGCTAGAATTTGGTTGGGTCCGCTCGGGGTTTTTCGTTTTCTGTGCTGGGAATGATAGGTGTTCGAATATATCGGTTAGACGTCATATCCACGTCACGGATAAACATATTAAAATGAATATAACGTATAACAAATTGCAGCTTTTAGTCAAATTTCTCGTAAAAATCGGAAAAAAAACGGCCACAAAATGACATACCTCTTTTAACAAATCCTTTATCCGTATTGGTTCATTCCCCCTTTCTGATTTGTTCTAAATAATAAATATATGATTGGAAATTGTATTATAGAGTGAATGCGAAATTGCTTCGCGTGTGTGATCGAAGCAAGAAGTTCCATAAAAGAAATGGAACTGATTGCGGACACCGGGGCCGCACATCCCTACCCCACGCTCGCCCATCCCGTATAGATTAGAAAAACACAAACTTTACTTACAGAAATGATTTTAGTTTATCCAATCAATAATTCAGTCAATCAAACAGTTTGATGAGTAGCTGATGTCATTTACAGAAATGATTCTTTGTTAACTATAGCAAATCAATAGTTCAATCAATTTAACAATGTGATTTCAATCAATTTTTCTCCATGCACTTTGAATAATAAATTATACAATAAGGAGATAATCTAAGATAATATATTATAAGGTTATAGAAATTGTACTGTTTGATCTTTTTAATGAATGATCACGGGATATATTCCACCTGTTACAGTTTTAAGTTGTATGCTGCTTGTTTGATCTTTCTCATTCTGTCAGCGTTTTGTGTCAGATAATATTCAATTTGTTTTTATGACTAGAGTCATATTGATCTTACTTGATTCAAATGACATTTTAAGACGTTTTTCTGCAGCGTGTTCGATCTTTGTAATTGTGTTAGCATTTTGTTCTGAATATAGTCTGTTTTTATGACTAGAGTCATATTGATTCAAATGACATATTCTATATTTCATTTATATGCTTCAAGTATTTTCTTATACATGTTGGTACACATGCCTCAAAATAAATAGAGTTAGCAGGCGTGGTTTGCACAATTCGTTCCGTTTCTTTGATCAAACTTCCCCAACCTATGATAGCAGACACGAATCAATTTGGCATTCACTCTAGGATACAAATTCGAATCACAGTCTCATAATAACAGCTTTTCGTCTTTAACGAAATTATTAGTGAGCTGAAATTCGTTCATGCATCTGTTATCGCTCGTTACTTCAGTCAGTTATTTAGAAGGATAACTCTTGTTTTCCATTTTTGCGTCACTTCCATTTCTTCAAATCTTCGTCACGCATCTTTAGACATGGCAAGTTTTGCCATCAATGGCCTTTTGCGCAAAATGTGAAATTTGTTCACAGTTTGTAGTCCCTACAAAGCTTTCCTTCTTGATGAAATTTCAAACATACAGGATTAAACAAAAGATCTCGGATGATTTAATATTCTTGCCAACTGGATCTTCCGTTCTCGAGTTATGTCCCGCTATCAGGAAACCATGTGAACGCGATAAAGGATATAGTTTTCTACAGATGCTGCTCAGATTTGGTTTGAGGCATTGCTGTCAGGAGATAACAAAACTTACCGATAAATAGGTTTCCGTGACCTTTTCTTCGAGATTTATACCCCCTTACACGAAAACAATGTGAATGCGATAGGGGTTACATTTTTAAACAGATCTTTTTTCAAATATAGTGGGAAGTATTGGGTCCTTGAGAGAAGGAAAACGTTCAGTATTCATTGTTACTCAATCCTTCGTATAGACCCAAGCACTGCGTAGACAGTGTACAACTAGATGGAAATAATTTTTGAGCGACTGGAGTTGATGGAAGTGGGTCGATCTAAGCGCTCTTACGACTGACTGGAATTGGTTTTTTACCAATTGCGCATGTTTTACTTTTCTGAAAACTACATCTGCCAACTTGTTTACCAATTTATCTAGGGAGGAGACTCTGAAGATTCTACGTAAACGCATTGATTGCTTAGATAACCCACTGGAGACCTTCCTATCAAGTGACAACATCATACCCCGACTCCTTCATTTCAACGGCAAAGACTCCTACCAAAT